CCCAGCCCAATAACCTTTTTAAAGAAGAATGATCTTGTCATGCCACTTGGAAAGGATATGCCTTACAGAAAACTCTTGCCAGAATGTCTCAAAATTGTTGTTTGGTGGGCCCGGGCTGGATTCAAACCCACCACCTTAGGTGTATGTGGCTGGCGCCTTAGCCGCTTGAGCCACAGGCGCCAAGCCAATTTTGAAATATACATATTGTAAAGAGAGCCTAGTTGTCCAAAGACAAAACGTGCTGGTTTAATTAGGCTTACAGTAAAGGATCACAAGTCAGAAGAGACAGATCATCACAATCAATCCCTGGGGTCCCTGACAGTAACCGCTCCGGTAAGATCGGTTCCTGGTGATGGAACCGGGAATCTCAAACCTGCATTGTCTCACTCCAAAGCCTGTGCGCCGCCCTCAAGATGACGCTTCCTCTTCTTGGGTGGTTTAGGAAGCTGGAGAGAAGACAGGCAATGGGTTGAGACTTCAAGGCAGGTCAGGAGTCCGTGCTGGGGGAGCCCGGTCAGAAAGCTCAGCGCGGCGGCAGAGACAGGTGTCGGGAGACCCGCAAACCAAGCACCTCGGGTTCCTGAGAACTTGAACTTCGCACGTGAGAAAGCCGAGCTCCCAGGAGGACTCGGCGTCTCCTACCTGCGCAGCGCTTAGCGACGGCGCTGTGTGCCAGACCCCCACCCCCGGGGGAGCCGGAGCGGAGTCCGGGGGCTGCGGGGCTCCTCTGCCGTGTGGGACAGAAGAAATGGTGGCGGCGTGGGGCAGAGACTGCGGCGTGGGGCAGGCGGGGCCGCCAGGCCTGCAGAGCTGGTTAAGAGCGCGTGGTGCGGGGCCGGTCCCGACCGCGGAGAGGCTGCACCTGTTTGCTAAGGTGTCACTGCCGGGCTGCAGGTGGCTTCAGTTTACACTAGTCCTCGGAGAAGCCACCTGCTTTCTCCCCTTCCCTGTCTGCAGCTCGTCAGGCCAAAAGAGGATTTTTTTTTTTCCTTGTTTGGTCACCCAGTCTGTCCTCCAAGTTCTGGGCTCAGGGGACTCTCCCGTCTCAGCCTCCCCTTAGCCGGGACTAGGGGCCTGCTGAAACTGTCAAATCAGAAATGACACCAGGAAAAGGCAGGAAGAGAAACACTATCAGATCCCAATCCTTTTTTCTGAAAAGGACCGGGATTTGAGTCTGCGGTACAGCGTCCCCTGCTGGGCTCCTGTATCCTGTTGGAACCGGCTGCCTCGAGGAAGAAGCAAGCTCACAGGGTATGTAGCCAGCTCCGAAAAAGCAAAGGTAAAATGCTTCAAAAGAAAAAAAAAAAAAAAACAAACAAAACTAACAGGCATGTAAAGTAAAAATACATTAAAGCAACCAAAAATAGCACAGAGATCACACGTTGATAATTTATGCTCTTTTTGAAAAATGGATAGGATGTGGTTCTAAAAACCTTAAAGTATAAAGAATAGGATATTATACACAAATTGAATAAAATCAAAACTTTTAGATCATGTTTTCATATTTAAATTTCCAGTGAACTAGCAGAGAAAGCTCTTCACTCAGATGGACAATGATGAACTGATATTAAAAGTATCAGTTGGCTCGGTGCCTGTGGCTCAAGTAGCTAAGGCACCAGCCACATATACCTAAGGTGGCGGGTTCGAATCCAGCCCGGACCTG